TACTCTGTCTCAGAAATCGAAAGAGAATCTAGAGAAACTGCCTGCATTGGCAGTATCTGTCAAATATCTTAGATGTTGGATACAAATTTCCGAATGCAAAAAGCGTACGGCATTTTCAATAAAAAGTTTGTTTTTAAATATTTTGATTATTTAGAAGTTCACTTGTTAGGATCTCTATAACATTTGTTCGTCAAAGTCTTCTAAAATGAATTATTAATTTAGAAAATTTAGTTCTTTTCAATTCTAATTATTCTAGATGCAACGAACTCATTAGATATATTTCTAATTAATGCAGTATGGAATAATGTTGAAATGAAATCGCAAGATATTGTATCTCCAAAAAGGTTGCACAGGTGTGAGATCAACCCCAACTCGCTTCACATATAAAAGATACCTCGCTGTTCTGAGTTGCCTAAAAGTCTTGATAACAAAAGATTGAAGGGAAAAGAAAGGTAAATTATAAATTCAACTATAAAATTTATTCGCATTGATCGCCCCTGCGATAATGTGAAAAATGTGAGTATCTAAGGAAAATATTATTCAATGTCGAACATAGGCTGGAGTGCAAATGACAAAGCGCATTTATGCGTGCGACCGAAGCCACGCATTTCCCAAATATTGAGCTACGCAAAAGGACCTGCGAATAGAGGTTCTGCTACCTGCTGGCGACTTAGCATTTTGATTGCGACGAGATATCAAAATAAATAACAAAACAAAAAAAACGAAAAATTGATACTATTATATAAATTCGAATAAAAAGCAGCAGAAAACAGCATAAAAGTAACGAACTGCATTCGCCTGTGCGCATGTGTAGCTACGAGATACACGATGCAATTGAGAATGCAGATAGCGAGGCTGTTGCTGTTGCTGTTGTGTTGGTTGGGAAGTTATCAGCCAGAATAGACCTTTGAACCTGCCCAAAGGAAGAATACAATTGGAAAGAAGACAATTTGACTTTCTACTTTGACTGCGTCTGCACTTGATGCTGCTAATTTTTGTCTGGTTTGGGAATTTCGTTGCGTTCCTCATTCGAAGTCTGAGCTGCAGTGCGTTTCACATTCTCACATGCAACAGGATGCAATTTATGTATCTTTTTCTGTAAGTCCATATTTTTTATGTGTTTTAAAGTGACTTGCGTTTTGATTTTTTATTTGAAATTTTGTGTGTTTTTCTAATCTTTCTACTCTTTTTAGGGGCTGGTTTCTTATCTGCAGCAGTGAATTATTTTAGTTTTTTGGATTTTTTTTCACTTGACAGTGATTAAGTAGATTTGCTGCATTTTCCTGTTTGACTTTTTCACTGTTTTTCTATTTTTATTTATTTTTTTTTTTTGAATTTTTAGTGTTCAGCGTTAATTGCGTGCAAATACGTCTTTTAGAGATCCCTCTTCCTTTTGATAATTCCAATGTGGCAAATGATCCTGCAACATTGCAATGTTTGCTTTATGACTTCAATTGTGTGATTCAAGATTCGGTACAGTTTACTCAACAATCACTTAAGTTAGAATTTAATTCGACAGCGATTAAAAAACAAAGAACTTTCTATAACTGAATTGAATTGATACTAAACCAGGATAAAATTGTTATCGATTTGTATGATAATCAAAACACAGGTGGTTCAGTAGTCTTACAAACACAAAATTAAAATATTTAGAAGATATGTACATATGTATTTAGATTATATAAGAGTAATTGAGATGAAAGAAAATTATGGGTTTTATTGAACGAAGCATTGCTACAGTACAGTTTTTTTGCTTACAACTGACCCTAACTGAACAGAAGGTATTAAACCTTTCGATTGAAAGGTAGGTTCATATGACTTCACAGGTAACATGCCACTAACTCTAACTCTAGCCTATGGTAGTCTCTTTATAACGAATCAGTTCCCTAGAATTGCGTATTGTACCAGTAGCGTCGTCTTTTCAGTGAATCAACAGGTTTACTAGAATCTGTACCAAATTACAATAGGGTGAGATATGCCGGTTTTTGTAAGATCACATAAATATAAGATAAAATTAAATAATATACATGGCCACATTCCCATATATCAATATATTTTCCTTATGATAACTAGCATGTTTCATGTTTAACTTCTGCATAATACTTTAATCCTAGTGTGTATCGAACAAAATAATATTTTCCCCTTCTAGCCAGCGCAACCTGATAGAGCTCTTGTCCTTTAAAATTGGGACTTGGTCAAATTTATAGACATCAAGTTATTCCTTAGCTTAAATAAGGGCGTCGTGCTTTTCATCACGCTGAAAAGTTGTACGCTGACCACTGCGATTGGTTGCGGTTCCTTCTGGTCTACGTACGAACAACGATAATCCATGGTATCACTACGGACCATTTTTTCAGCTTAAGCGGGCTTTGGTTTACAAGTCCATGGATCAAACCTAACCGAACCTATTCAGCATATTATATTCTAACAACACCAAATATAGAAGCTGCACATGCTAATATACAAGGATAATATCCAGTTAGAATGTTGTATAGTATATTATCATTAATTGAGACTTGCTGAGTTATAAATTTCTTATAGTCCTCAATATTACATATTTTTTTAAATAATATTCTAAAAATGTTTTGTTTTCTATTTCACAAACCTCAGCTTAAAAGATGTTTGCATTCTTTTGAATTAAGCAAAAACAAGCAATGATGAGGTATTTGATTTATATATATTAACCACATCTTCGTTATATAAAATCAAACTTTCTCTAAAGCAAATATGTTAGATTTTAGATATACTATTACATATAGAAGCTAATCTCTTCAATAGTGCGAATCAATCTATGAACCCATATTTTAGAATGGATCGCACAGTCCTAGTTTATCTGAGAATTTTTAAATTGCATGTAAACCATTTCCTCTAATTTTTGGAGACTATTTGTGAGTTTGCATAATTTTCAGGGTTTTAAGATAGATTAAAAATCGCAAGAACTTTCCATTATATTTATTATTAGGTAAACAATAAATTAAGTAAATAAAAATTAAATAATTAACAAAATAATTTATTAATTATTTCAATTAAAATTTTTTTGCTTAAGGTTTGAAAATGCACGCAGAAACCACACGCCAGTGTTTTAACGATATTGTCCACAATATATTTACTTTCTACATCCCTGCTTTTGCGGCAATCGTTGCATACCTTGCGGCTGACCACACAAATCATGGAATAGATGTAAGAAATAATATTCATTTTATAATTTTAGGATAAGAAAAATAAAAATATTTTTTAGTTATTTTAATTTTGGTTTCGTTTTATATTGTTAAATTTTTCTGTAGATTTATAGTTTCTGAAGTTTGATCTTACAAAGTGTTTCTAACAATGGACAATGGACAATGGACAAAGTGTTTCTCTAACAATGGATATATAATTTTGATTTTGTTGCTAAAGCTGAACAACTCGCTTTTTGATAAGATTCTGTATCCCATCTTAAAGCAATTTTTCTAGGGTCTTGTTTACTTAAGAAAAACTGTGGCCTGTACGGGAATATATTATCTGCAGACTAATAGGTTTTCAGCTAAAGTCTTGCTTACTTAAAAAAACTGTAGCCTGTACGAGAATATATTATCTGCAGACTAATAGGTTTTCAGCTAAAGACGACATTATAGTATGCATCAAATTCGGAAAATAGTTTGATTGATTATATTCTATAATAATTTCATACTATTTCTTGAAAAAACTCGTGCTTTCAGGCATAGGTTAGAATTATTAACCTATTTTGTTGCAATGATGGACGATGAAACTAAACTAACTTTACTAAGATTAGAGTTATTGATTGCGTTAGGCAATTTTGATTTTCTTATCCCAGTTAGTCAGTGGTTATGCGATCAAGAGTGAAAATTTATGAGATTATTTCGCATTTGACTCGTGAAATAAAATATTACAGTAAGCAAACTTATAAGAGCTAAAATAATTTAATTTTTGAACGACCGAACAGAGTAAATATTTCTCTAGATTCTTTTTGCTTATTAAATGTAATTCCAATACCATAAAAACAATTTTGAACATTTAGTTAAAGAGAAAAAAGTTAAATCTAATATTTATATTCAGATTAGAAGCAATTCGAAATGCATATGGTTATTACCTCATAATTCTGAAGTTAACCAATTTGAAAACTATTCTAGTGGAATCCTAAGGAAACCCTAAAAAATAAACAATAAAACTGCTAGTCATAACTATGGTATTTTACAATATTTCAATTTTTTTATCGAATATTGTCTTAATTCCAATTAAAAGTCCAACAACAACTTTTGTTGCTGTTAGTAAAATAGACAAGCACCTCATAATTTCTTCAAATGAGCAGATTAATTGAAATCCATCAAGTTGTTGAAGCATTAATCATATTGTATATTCCACAAATATCTTGTCATTTTCCACAACTTTTTTAGTATGCAATGGAAAATAATACAAAACAATTACGTCCTGAGATTTTCTATCCAAATTTCAATTATACTTTTCATTATTGCTCAGTAAAACATAATACGAGACGAAAACTGCTGAAAAGTCTCCATGTAAAGATATATAAGAAATTATGATTAGGATTATGATCAAATTATGATTAATTAGATAATCTGTTTATTTACTTATTAAATGAGCAATAAATATGTTTTGTCCATTGTTTTTTCTTTGATTGTTTTGCGGAAGTGTTACGAATTGGAGAGAATCTGCACTGCATTCCTTTACCAGTTATTTTAATGATTTTATTTATAATTAAGTAATATGAAATATGTAGTTTTTGTTTTATATAAATGTTTTGAAAATATAGTTAGTTTGCATGTAGCGTGTTTAAATGGTCTTCAGTGCCGTCGTTTTTGGTTTTGTTGGCTTTGCCATTTTCGTTGCATTTTCGCGGTAGCCATAGCTGCGGACTGCGAAACTTTCGTCAAAAATTGTAAACAAACAATTTTGAGTAACTATTAATAAAATTTATTTATTTAAATGTGAATTCATCAATAAATAAAGTAATTGTAATTACAATATAAATAAGTGTAATTAAAACTAGTTAAATATATTACAAAATCTTTGCTATAAAATACAGTTTACATCAACAAAATTGCTTAGATAAATTTTTGATTTTTGATTTTTGATTTTTGATTTTTGATTTTTGCTCACGAAAGCATTTCTGAATGAGTTGTGAAATTTATTGCTCCTGTGTCCCCGCCATCTGAAACCTAAACTAAATTTAACTACGAATTGGTAAAGAAACCTACAGTTCCTGTTTGGTTGCTTCTTTGGTTAGTTTTGCTACACGGAACGACTCCAGCACGTTCAGCTTGTGTGTTAGTTCGACTTTCTTGGCTTCTGCCACTTTACCGGCCCTGAGGCGTTGCAAGCGCTTCGTTTCCTCGTCTACGAACTCATAACCTTTTTCATTGATTTTTCGCATGAACAGCAAATAATTTCTCGCGTTGATTTTTTCGTTTTCCCTGGTGACTGACTTCAACGCTTCTTCAGCTTCTGTGATTTTCTCCAGCTGCAGTTCATTCGATAAATTTGCATAATTTTTAATGATCAAATTGTAAGCTTTTAAGCAGCCTTCGCGGCCTATGTAGAGCTCGCTATTTTCTGTTACAAATTTCTTCAGATTATCCAAAGTCACATCCAGGTAAGTGGGAAACTGTACGTATTTATCTGAGCTGCCTTTGAACAGAAAAATGGCAGGAAATGCTTTGTCGTCGACTTTGTAACGGTCGCCTAGTAGTTTGTTTTCCATTTCTCCATAATCCTTGATGCCCACTGTGGCAACAAGCAACTCATCGGTGACTTGGTGGGCGGTTTTCGAAAATGCAGCGAATGCTTCATGCTTTTCACCATAGGGAAAGGCAATATCGAACTTCACTAATGCGTACGGGAAGCGTAGCACTGTTTTGTCAAAGTTGACCTCATCCAAATCTACGCAGCCTGCACATGAAATCGCCCAAACACTGCAGCTCAAAGTGGACAGAAGTAAAAACAGCACTGCGCACAGTTTTAAATAATTTCGAGACGTACACATATCTTTTATTTTTTTATTTTAGATTATTTTGGTTTTAATGGTACCAATATATTTCCTACTTTGTTTTTTATAAATTTTATTTATTTGCCACAGTGTAGTTAAATAATCGATCCGTTTTACACAGCAACCGGCAAAATTGTTACTGAACTCTTCTGTTTTTAAAAACCAAAAGTGGTTTACGCTGTTGCCATAACAGCTCTCTGCCAACCTCCCCTTCCCATACACAACACACTTGTCACCTTACCGTACTTCGCGTGTTTATATAAATTTAATTTTGAAGTGGCTTTGCATCGACTGAAAGAGTCGCTCTCTTGCTGACAACGGTGCTGCCCTCAGCGGTCGTGTCTTTCGTAATTCCACGCTTGCCGTAAAACTAGTTTTCCAAGATTCTTCTGCTCTTGGCTCTCAAAGGTTGAATGACATTAAAGCCACGTTTTCTACTATAGCGCAAACACGTCAAAACTTTTCTGTGTTTTTGTATCTTTTATTTGTATCTGTATCTGTATCTGTATCTGTAAAAGTATCTGTAAATGTATCTGTATCTGTATTTCTATCTGTGGTTGAGTTCGCTGAGTTGTAAAACGAATCCACTATGATCGCTACTGAGTACATATTCAGTTTTATGATTTTACTCTTTTGTTTTTCTAAATTTTTTTATATTTTTTAATTTTTTTCTTCAATTGCGGCTCATTCGTTTGCATTCGAAACTCTATTTGTTTTGGCCACATTTTGGAAGGTAATAAATTCTTCGGTTCTTAATTTTCGATTGTGCTTTTGTTGGTTTATATAAGTTTCACTTTAATGATTATTTGACGAGTTGTTTCATATGCGACGGTTGTTAAAATATTATGCAATTAATTATATTCCCTTTCAAAAAAATCCAATTTTTCATTTGAGAATTATACCTGACGACGATCATTCGGGATTCATAAAAATAAATAAAAATAAAAAACATTTCAAGAAAATGTAAAAGATGAACTCGTAAAATACGTGAAGCACGAAAAGATTTTTGCAGTTTATTTATCTAGTTTTTCACTATCAAAAAAAGATCATTTATAGCTATTTTCTTTAATTCAAAAAAAGAATAATACTTTCCTTTTTAAATATTTTCTAAAATATTGGTGATATATACTGACTTCAAGTAAGTAAACACCAGACAATCTAGAAAAACCTTTCATTTAGTCTTCAAATAATTACCTTTACTATAGTCAATTAATTTTAGCTTTTTAATGAATTGATCTATTAGCTAGTTTTGTAACAAGCCCTTTACAACTTTGCCCTTTTCAATCATTATCTGAGGGACTACCTTGCGTACCTATAAATATATAGTCAGACGGATGAACTGTCAGCATTAAATTAATTTCGTCATACTAATCAAATGGAACATTTCATACAAATGGAATATATGCTTTCCCATTTCTTGTTCACTGCGTCACACACATATTCCATTTACACCACTAGGTTACTTTGACAGTCAGCACTCATTGGAAATCTACAGTTCAATGAGATCTCAATTCCACTCAAGTAGCTAATAACCAAGAAAATATTAATGGGAACCAACGCCTGATGAGAAAAGGCCTCCCTCATTAGAGGGGCCTAGTCGAATTGGAATAAAAGATGACCGAGTTTATTATGCAAAAGAACTAAAGATTCTGCCTCTATGCTAGTGATAGTATTAACGATACACTTTCTAATAAGAATTCATGTTAACAGGCTGTATGTGACAGCTGCAGACTAGGAATACTATGGGCATGTAGTATATCTATATTTTTCAATATTCTGAATAATTCAATATTTTGCAAAATTTAATCAAAAATTCAGATGGTTTTCATGAGGCGAAATTAACCTTTACTGTAAACGGAATTTTAATGTGTCAGTAAATAATCGAAGTGTATCGACGATAGTCGAGCAAGTATAGTATAACATAACCGCATCTTCTCATATATGTGACCAATTCTTTAAACTTCTTTATTATATTTTCTGAATGTGGTTTAAAATAAAAGTTATAATACTCATTAAATAAAATTATTCAATTCAATCTGAATTTGTATAGACCTATATATGGTAATACAATTACAATACATAAACGTCATATGCGATAGTTTTCCTTTAGTGCTGAGGAAGGATATATGAATTATAAAAATGAAAGCTGATAATGAATTCTATAAATATCTGTTAGCATGACACTTTCGTTAAAATAATAATTTGTAATTATAGTTAGACTCCATTGCTTCTACTTCCTCACAAGTCATTATTTATAGATTGAATATACATTAAATTTTAATGGACTTAATTTTAGACGCTTTGTGTCAATATTTTGTTTTATATTTATTTGGAAGGGTGGAATGATTTAAAAATTATTTTTGCTTTTTTATATCGAAGTTAAAATAATAAGAAATAATAATAATAATGAAATAAATTCTAAATTGACTAAAAAAAAAATAATTGACTTAACTTTAACTTTAAAAATTTGGAATTCTTTTCGGTTTTGCAAAAATATTTATTATCTGCAAATACATTCGAGTACTCACTGAAACCAAATTAATACTTAAAATAATAAAATATTTTTGATAAATATTAGTAAGACACTTAGTAAGTGTCATCAATGCATTTCGTTGCTCTTAGTTTGAGGTTTGTTTACACAAGAAACCCCATCCCTTTACGACTTTTGCTAAGGACGTGTCTTTACAAATTGATAAATTTTCACACAAATGAAAGCATTTGAAGGCTCTTTATAAAAAACTTTAAAGCCTTCACCCAGTTATGAGGTTTTGAGTTTAGTGAAAATTCCATACTCTAACCCTCCTACTTTGATACTTTCTTTGCTAACCATTAGCCACGAAGTAATGCGTGTCAAAGTGACTAGCATGGGCTGGCTAGAACTAGTTAGGAAACAAAGAGTACTTAGCAAATTGCCAAAAGTGTTTAATAATGCATGTGGCAGTGTACGAGTATAGCGTCCCCTTAGCTCCTCACCATTCCATTACTATTCTAATTCTATTTGTAGTAGTTGTAGTCTTTGGCATTATTCCATTCGAACTGCGTATATTGCAGCGGTCAAGGTGCTTCATTTAATATTCTGCGTGCCCATGGCGTTTATTTTGTGGATTGCTTTTTTGGTAACTCTTACCATTTAGTGGCTTCGTTTGCCTGTTAATTTTCTCAAGCCATTTCAATGATAATAGGATTTTTCGTTGTGCATTGAATAGTTTGGCAGTTTGTGAAATTGTCCTGCAAACATATAAAATTGAATGTGTATACACGCATATGTAGTTATGGAAGCGAAATTACACAGCAAACCTATCATTAGTGGCATGTAGGAAGAAAGGAAAAGGGTGATGTGCATGAGACTACTCGATTAGTACCCGTATCAACTTAAAAACATATTCTAAGTGTTACTGTCTAATTTTTACATACAAAAGAAACAGACAATAAACAGCTGATATCCTTATCTCTCCAGTTTGTAGAACTAGAAGATTGAAGGATTCAAGGGTAACAGAAAATATTATAAACCCTCAGATTTATTATGTTTAAAGTTTTTCGGAGGTTGTTAATTGCCAGTCAGATCTTTGCGAACCTGAAACAGGTTACGGCACTCTGAGAACCGTAGTCAGATTATATTGACCTTATATATCTATCCACATTACAATTAGAAAAGCAGAGATTTATAAATCTGAATCAGCTATCCACTTAAGAGTTTAGAGTAAAGTTACGGTGGTACTCTTTATCGATATAATTGGAATGATTGTCACATTATTAAACAATTTATGAAACACTTTCAAACTAAGGACGTTCAAATTGGAACGAATTGCTAATGTGTAACATAATAGGGTAATATGAGCTTAGCAGTAGACCTGTCTGTATTTTTAATTTAAGAATTGTTACAGTTTTAATTTTCGGCTAAGATCACTAGTTTTGTTTTTAACTTCATTTTCTTAGATGAAATTCAACAAGTTCTCAGAGTTTACATATACTACAAACTCTTTTAAGGAGATGATTATGCCTCTGGCAACAACATACATATTTTGTGTGTTCCAAAGATTTTATGCATGACCACTCACACTGAAGCAGCTTAAAGGTTTTTAGTTTTATATCAAGTGTTTAGTTTAACCTTCGTCCTAGTAAACAATAAAATCAAAGTCTATTTAGATAAATGATTAGTTTTATCTTTAGTGTTCCAGAATACTGAAGATGCGATAATTTCAATAGGTATATAATATAAAACATCATCATTTCATCAGAAGCTTTTAGTAGAACTTTGCTATGTCGGTGAGTATATCTGAATTAAGGTTTTGGAAAAAACGAACAAGTTACTCCCACTTCCTATTTCAACATACGTAATTTACAAAGGTGGACAATCGATGTCTTTTTGCCGAAATTGACGAAGTTGCGTGCAATGTTCCGAAATGGGAAATTACGTTTTCGGATAAATAAATTGGTTTAACCGAAGCGATGGTGCGGGTAAACCGCAAATGAAACACCGACATGTGTGCCATGCATGAATTATTAATTGACGATTGGCAGTGGTCGCTGGGTAAACAGTAGAGCGGCAGAAGGGCCAAAGACAAGAAATACGAATTTTATCAAATACCAAAATACTTTCTATGACCTGAATCGCTGTCCAGCAATCGGTTTTATATAGTAGGCGGGAGTTAGAATTAAATAGAAAAAATAAAAGCCAATTTTCATTTTTTATTTGTCTAAATTTTCCTTTAGTATGGCTTTTTATGTTTTGTACAAAATTCGTACAATTGCAAAGGACAATTACCAAAATTTGTTTCCTCACAAAGGCTCGTTTGTACGGAAAACGCGCTCCGTCATTATTGTCAATCATGTTTCGGGGGAAGACAATTAACTGAGACCACACATGTGCGTTATTCGAGGCATAGTCTGAAGTACGCATATATTTACCCATTCACTGTCATTAGTGAAACGCAATTTTACATATGGAAAGTGGGCAATAGGAAGGTGATTGGAGAAGAGGAAAAGAGACTTAAATAAGCAATAATTTTTATTTTATTTTATTTTGTTCTTTTTTTTCTGTATTATTTTTTATAATTCATATTCATATTGTTCGCGCTCTATTAGCTCTGATAGCCATCATTATTATTTATATATTTCCATTCTTCTACCCTTCTATCTATAAACTTGTCAGATTGCGTTCCACATACTCGCACAATATAGGCATAAAATATCGTCCAACAGTC